TTCCGCATGACGCGCGACGTCGCGCCCCGCATCGGGTACGCCAAGCCGGCGCTGATCCTCTCGAAATTCTTCCCCGCGCTCGAAGGCGCGACCACCAAGATGAGCTCGAGCGGCCCGTCGCCGACCATTTTCGTGTCCGACTCGGCCGCGGACGTGGCCGACAAGATCCGCAAGTACGCCTTCAGCGGCGGTGGCGAAACCAAGGCCGACCACGAAAAGTACGGCGCCAACTTGGACGTCGACATCCCGTACCAGTACTTGACGTTCCTTCTCGAGGACGACGCGGAGCTCGCGGCGATCGCGAAAGAGTACGGCGAGGGCCGCATGATGTCGGGCCAGGTCAAGGACAAGCTCATCGACATTGTCGTTGCATCGAACGCCGACTTCCAGGCCAAGCGCGCGGCCATCACCGACGAACAGGTGCGCCACTTTATGACGGTGCGCCCGCTCGCCTTTTAAGAAGGTGCTCGGATAAGATGAATCCACGTGTTGCTACTCTACGAGTGCGTGTGTCATGCTGCCAAGACGATAGTAAATAGCCTTGCACGATGCGGCGCACGGGGGCAGCGTGACTTATGACAGACATATCGTTGCCATGAGCTTGAGAGAATAATGGCGAGGACAAGGGACTTGAGATTCCGTCCGGTTTATCGACCGACTCATGACTTTTCTATGGCCTTGTCTATTGCGTGGTTTTGCTACGTTGGACCAAGGGTCTATCTATGCATGCTGTGTATCGACCCTTGGTGCGGCAATTGCATTATGTGCGTGCTACGATCGTTTGGTGAACGTGTTGTTGTTGAAATGAGTCTTTTGATTTGAAGGATTGTGGGTCCTATGGTATCGCACTGGTTGGACCTTTTGCGATAATGGAGCATTTGAAACCGACACGTAACAAAATATACCAAGTGTTGTACGATGGACATCGTTGAATCCATCGGTACTGCGGCGTTGGCACCAAGAGGAGAGAGGCTCGTGCATCGCTACGACGTATGGCATTCGCGGTTGCTTTATACTAGTAAGCTACAGTATCGCATGCAAGCCCTGTCAAGGAGCTTCCTCATTGTACCGAATCTACAAAGCCTTGGTGGCTCGATGGGCCTCGGGTATTGTCTTGCTCGAGGAAGTGACTGCTGTCCAAAGTGCTACTACTACATGTAGCACCCAAAGCGGCACGCCTGCTGAAAAAGTCAAGAGGATCGTGTCGGACGATGCAGATCGAACGCGTGCTCGCGTTTGATTGGCCACCTCCCCATGACGTGGCACGACGTGGCGCATCGTACAGATTAGAGGGGGGAGCGCACTTGCCTTTTCGATGGGTCTCGTCTACTCGTGTATGTGGCTCTTTGCGCCAAACAAAAAGACTCGGTTGGTCATGCTGGGCCTCGACGCCGTTGGCAAAACCACACTCCTCTACCAGCTTCAGCGCACGCTTCACCCGACAGACGACAGCAGCAACATGGAACCGATCACGACCATTTCGACAATAGGCTTCAACGTCGAGCGGTTCCAGCTCCAAGGCCTCGACTGCACGTTGTGGGACGTCGGTGGCAACTACCGCCTCTCGTCGATCGTGCGCCACTACTACGAAGGCGCTGATGCAATCCTGTTTGTCGTTGATACCACCGACCGTGCGCGCATGGGCTCGGCACGTGACCATCTGCACAACATTTTAGCGTCCGACGACCTTCGAGACGCAGTTCTTCTTGTCTACGGCAACAAACAAGATCTTCCGCAGGCCATGAGCATTGCGGATGTGACCGAGGCGCTTCAATTGCACGCGGTTCGTCAGCGGTGGTTTGTCCAAGCGTGCTGTGCGACAACAGGCGACGGACTTTACGATGGTCTTCGCTGGCTCGCCACAGCGCTGCGTAAGACGTCGTGTTAATGGAATGCGTAAGGAGCACCCATTCCCACATTTCGCCACCAACACCCATGACAACAACTGTGCCGAGGACAGAAATGCTATTTTTCCTTTTGCTCGCCTTGACCTAGCCTTGTGTTTGCCTTTTGATTGACTGCTAGTGTTTTGTTTGCCTTTAGCCAGTAGCATTTCTCTCGATCGCGACTCCTGGAAGGGACGTGACCGAGGTTCGTTGTCGTCTTGGACCTCTCTTGCGGTCGCAAGTGCCCCGGGTGACTACGGAGGAGCTAGACGAGCCCCCGCGCCGTCGCCTGCGCAGCCACTGCCCGGCGAGTGAATGAAGGAGAAGAGATTACTAGTCTCTTCGCATGACAAGTCGTTGTATCACACTAGTAAATGAATAGCAGAAGAGTGGGAAATGATCTGCAACGGGATAAGAAAACGATCTAGCCGTCAACAAATTGGAAATGGATCGCAAAGCGATGGCAAACGAATCGGCAAGAACGACTGGATAGGGAACTAGTGAGTCCTTTC